TGTGGTTCGCATTCTCGGCGGGGACGGCTTTTCCGGTAGATCCACGATTATTTCTACATCGTCCGATCTGATGGCATTGGCGCAGCAGACGATCGTGCGATCCTAGGTGAAGAAAGATGCTCGACGGCGTGACAACGGAGGCTGGCCTTTGGCGGCGGAGAATCCGCCTGTGTGTTCGCGGACGGTATATCTGGCGGCTCCGACGGTGGCGGATGCTTGGCGTTGGCGGCGAAGCAGTGGGTCGCTTGCGGGAAGGGTGACAGGTGGGTCGCCGGCGGGGAAGGACGACAACTGTGGCAGGTGGTTTGCGTCAGTGTGTGTGTCAAAGTGTGTGTTGTGCGTGTGTGCATGTGTTGTGTGTGTATGTGATAACGAGAGCGGTGACATGGAGTGGTGACATGGTAGTGGTTTAGTTGACATGGTAATGGTAATGTCACATAACAGCCTGGCTTTCTCTTCTCTACTAAGTCTCCCAAATCCTCTACCCCTTCCTCCTGATATGTTACCTCCTCTGCTACCATAACCTCTCCCTTGAGTACTCAATCCTCTTCCATATCCCTCAGATTTAACACTCATGGCCAAACTATCAATTATTTCAAATGAACTACTCACACTCCTTTGCCTCTCTGCTGTAAGTGCCATAGAATATGCTTTATTAACACTGGGCAGGGGATCAATCAACATAATCTGATTTTTAAAGTTGTCATATCCTTCATTCAATCCCATGAGAAATTGTATCAACTTATTTTCACCCTCAGTTTGAGCTACTATCTTCCCTTTCTCACAGTTGCAGGCTTGAGTGGGAACAATACATGTATATTCATCCCAAAGTTTCTTCAATTTGTTGAAATATTCCATTACAGTGAGATTTCCTTGCATTAAATTTCATTGGACCGTTATTTTCTCCAAACCTCAAACAGATTTCATCCCAAAGGTCCTTTGCAGTTTAAGCATAGACAAATGATTCAGCAGTTTCCTTAAACATCGAACTCAAAATCCATGACAATATCATCCAATCTACCTTTTTCCATTCGTCATAATCATCACTATCAACATCAGGTTGAGAAATCTCACCATTGATAAAGCCGAGCTTCCTTTTAGCTCTAAGAGCTATCATCATCGATCGACGCCATGAAAGGAAGTTGTTACCGGTTAATTGATTTGAAACTAGCACCAGACCTGGATTATCAGATCCATGAAGAAAGAGAGGATCATGATTTCCTTGTCGCACACCAGATCCGCTTACATTGAAGACGTTCTCTCGCCTCATCGCCATCTCTGATTAATCTCGAAGTTTCCCAGAATCGATTGCTCTAGATACCATGTAAAATTTACCAACACTCATGAAACTCACTCGAATCAGTTTTGAGAATTTTCTTAGCTCAATTCATTTCACTCAAAAATAGTAAGCGTACGTACAGTACAATATAAGAAAAATGACTCATGCAACAAGACGAAAGAAACGACGTCGTGTGTGCTAATCAGAACGACGTCGTTTGACACTTAAAACTAATCAAACTGAAAAGAAACAAAACGGCATCGTATAAAACAAAACGACACCGTTGAAAGCTAAACACATAATCCGAAAGAAAGCAGCTAAAACACATGCAACGTCATCTTCTACTTCATGCTGAGGTCTCCATCATGCTGCGATCTTCACTATGCTCAACACCTTCCTCTTCGTCCACCTCTCTGTCCATCCCGGCGAGCTGCACACGCCGGCTATCGCTACCGTCCAAATCCCAACGTCGACTTCTTCCTCAATCGATTGGTCCAAATCCATCCCGTCGTCGCCTTCCAAATCCCGCCGCCACCATCGTCTTATCGCTCAGTCGCCCCGTTCAAATCTCGTCATCGCCGGCGCCTCCGTCCAGATCCGCCGCCGGATAGATAGCCGCTGCGAGAGTTTATCACACATCAATTACAAATTCAGAAATCACAATTTGTACTGTTGGGTTAATTGAGTATGTGGTTTTTTAGAATTTAATTTCACAACTTCAGATTTTCACACAGCCAATTCAGATTTTTTGTGGGGCTATATTTTGGAAATTTGAGAAGCCTGAAGGGCTTATATACAATTATAATAGTTTTAACTATATTACAATTTAGTTTATGGGTTGAATATGTAATTTATTAAAATTTAACAAATCAAACTACTGATAAATGAGTTGCATATTATTTCGTATGATATGTCAATATAATAAAACCAATTAATTGTACTTTGATTGATCATGATGGTTTTGTTCATCCAGAAGGATGTGTTGTGTTCAGATTCTAAACGGAAACTTGGTGTGACTTGGGTTCATATTTGCAATTGTTTTGAAATGGAACCTTTACTTTGATAGCTAAAAAAATAAATAAATAAATAAATAAAAATTGTACAATATGTATGGATATGCATATGAAAATAATTTTTTTTATAATATAAACAACAAGTTATTTCAATTAAATAGTTTCAGTTAAATCGGTTCGTTGTCAGTATGGATTTGCACATGAAAATAACCCACACTGCAAGATGCACTATAATTTTAAACGGGATGCACATTAGTGACAATCAAACTGCACTAGTGTTAGATCAAATAATATTAATTCGTAATGCACATCAAAGTAACCACATCACTATACCAGTGTGCATTTTCGTAAATACCACAATTCTAAGTATAATTTTATAGCATAAATTTAAATCATTTAGATTAACTCGGTTAATCGGTCGAATAAATAAATTATATCGGGTTGATTTTTGTTGGGTTGAAACAAATAATTAAAAATGTTTGTGATGTGAGTGCACGATAATATTAGACGAATTACACATTAATGACTATCACAATGCACAATAGTGAATGCAACCAAAAAGCTAAAAATTTTGGATTGAAATATTTCGATTCGAATATCTATTTTTACTTTAAAAACGTCAGTTATTTTAGTTTGATGTCAGCTTACTTTTTTTATACCAAATAAACGAACCAACCGAACTATAAAGATTACACAATAGCGACCTAAACCCACCAAAACTAAATGTTTTAGTTCAAAATATATATTATGATAGACTATATGTGTTTACTTTCAATTTTAAAATGATAATTATAATTTTATAAGTATAGATAATAGTTTAATTCTGTTATTTTCATTAGATCAGATAACTGACCGAATAAATCGATCATTTATGTTTAGTTTTAATTTGATTCGGAAGAAAAATGTTGTTAGTTCATTATTATATGATAGAGTGCACATTAGCGACCAGTGTAGTGCACAATAGTAGTAGACAAATTGCACATTAATGGCTCTCATAGTGCACACCTACAATCGAAATTGACGGATTTGAAACTATATATGTCAATTCGATTGACCTTTTTAATTTTACAATTTCGGTTATATTAGTTCAATGTCGACTTTGTTTTTTTTTTTTAATTTCCTTATCAATAGTTTATATTTATTAAGTTTTTAATAATATATTGTTAAATATTTATAATATATTGTTAAAACATAATAGTGTTCGACTTAGTGCACATTAACGTACGGTAATGCAAATTAATGCATTCGATTTAGTACGATTGTCTTTATTTACAAAAAAGAAGGTAAAAAAAATAACGAACTTGACCGAACAAATATAAAAAAATATTTTCTTTATATATATATATAATAAATAATGTATATATATATATATATATATATATATATATATATTTAAAATTGAAATGCACATGAAAAATACACGCTTAATAGCTTGCACAATCATGTTATACTAGATGCACATTAATGCATGTGTGCTTGCACTTTATCGAGATCAGTATTTTGTATATTACATTTTCTATGACAAAAAATAATATAAAAAAAACAAATAACATTTCTCACATACTAAATATAATTTTAATATAAATAATAAATTAATGGGATTATTTAGGATAATGGAAATACACATTATTAGAGGTTTGTATAATTGAAAATGAACATAACAAAATATAATTCTATAGAATGCATAAATAAAAGTTAAAATAAATGCACATTAATACATGTTGGAATGCACAATAACGATGATGGTATTTTATATGTTATGTACTTTCAACAATAAATATATATAATATTAGCCATACATATTAAAATACTTAATATATTTTTTATAATATAAATAATTAATTATTATAATTATTTAAGGTACCTCGGTTAACCGAATATTAAGGTTGAGTTTTATTTTGGTTGAAGCAAGTCATAAAAATGTTTCTGCTATAAGTGCACAGAAGTGTTAGACAGATTGCACTCTGATGACCATCAGATTTCACAATATTGACATTTTTTTATTATCGGAAGTTATTATTATTATTATTATTATTATTATTATTATTATTTTTATTATTATTATTATTATTATTATTATTATTATTATTATCTTTTTATATATTGTGAATGAACATTTTTATGGTTATTGAATAATATGAAATATATTATTTTTATTATTTTATTTTTATTTTTATGTATAATGGGTTCACCGTATGGTTGTATGAATTGCATCTTAGTGACTATTGGATTGCACAATATATAACGAAACTGCACGAACTAATTTTTTTGGTTCAAAATCTTAAATTTTGGTTCGATTGTTTGCATTACTTTAAAAACAACTCGGTTATCTTGTTTCGATGGTAGTTTTTTTTTTTAATTACATAACCGAAATAACCGGACGTCCGGTTTGTATAAAAAATAATATTATCACTTTTTTTTTTATATTTTTATGCAATGCTATTTTCAAATATTAAATAAACAATACTGTAATTAATCTAATTTAGTTAATTATAAATTTGACGCATAAACTAAATTATAATATATCAAAATATCATAAATTGCAATAAAGCCCTAGGACTTTTCAAATTCACAAATTATGTCTCCTTCATTCCAATGTCACTGCAATTCCAGATCTGAATCTACCACATGCACTGAACACGCACACACACGAACACGCACATACACAAACACACACACACACACACACACACACACGCAGATTTCTCTCAACCGCCGCTGACCACCGTGATAGGTGAGGAAGATCGACAATTCGCGATAGGTGCGGAGGAAGGGGGCCGCGTCGGAGTAGTCGGCGATGTCCGACTGATGGCGGCAACGGGCTGAGACCTTGGGCGTGGCCAAGTCACGGCGAACGGCGAATGGTGCTCATGGTGGTCTGGCGGGGTTACGACGGAGGTCGACGTGTGCTTCGGGTGGTCAGGTGAGGATCGGTAGTGTGAAGGTAAAGACAGTGAGGTGGTGAGAGATGACGGTAGAGGGCTGTAGCGGGCGGCGGAGGATATGCAGGTACAGGCGGAAGGCGGCTGCACGACGAAGCTCCGGTGGCCGGAATGTGGGCGCGAAACGCACTGGCGGAGGGCGGCTGCACAGATGTTGGCGGAAGGCGGTGGTTGTGTTGTGGAGTGGTGGCTGGCCTGCCGGAAGTAGGGTGGGCACCATCCAAGAAGGTCCGAGATTTGACCTATCCTGGTACCTGTCCTGGTTTTTTGAACCGGTCCGGGACGACACCCCGTCCCAAACGGATCGATATCAATCGGGACCAGGACAAAACGAAAAAAAAAATGTTCAAACTTCAAACTATTCCTTGTTTCACTTAAAAAAAAAAAAGAAAAAAATAAAACTACTTTGATTCCATTCAAAGTTGCAATCAACTAATTAAGCTGCAATCAAGCATTGAAGCATTCTGCATTCAAAAAAAAATATTTTTTTATGAATTAATGTATAATATAAATTTGCAACAGAAAATATTATATATAGATTGAATTGAAACACCATTACACCAACTGCAAGTTGAAAAAAAATATCACACATAAGTATTTGTTTTTATTGAACGTCAAATGACACTAGGAAATTTGCAAAATAAATTGTTATATATTTTTTTTTTTTGAACATCAGATGACACCAACAGAAAATATTTTTGCATTGTACACCATTAATTTATATTTATGTTGCAAGATATTATAAATAGATTGAATTGAAACAGAAACAAAAACACCATTACACCAACTGCTAGTTGAAATATAGTTAAATATAATACTAACATAAATATAAATTAATGTATAATATATATATATATATATATAATATTTTTGTACAAAAAAAATAAAACGGGACAAACGGAACAGTTCGAGAAAAAAATATTAAAAACCGATACCGACATTGTTTCAATCGGTTCGGTACCGGGAACGGTACGAAAATTTTAAAAACCAATTGGAACCCTATTTTTTCGGAACGGGACCATTTCGGTCTGGTTCGGGATCGGAAAATCCGGTCTTTTCGCCCACCCTAGTCAGAACACTGCGTACGTGTGTGTGTGTGGATAGTGCGTATTCAGCGTGAAGGTGAAGGAGAAAGTGGAGTTGAGGAAAGAGACATGTGGGGTGAAGATGTTTGGTTAGTGGGTCCCACATTATATATGTGTATTGACCAACTTACCCTCACTTATTGGTCAAATACACATATTTGACCACAACTTGATCATATAATTACCAAATTGTCATTAATGATTGACCATAGTTTGATTTCATCATAACCATTGATATGGTTAATCCCATTGTCCACACTTATTCTTGTTTCTTTCACTATCTACCATTCTCATATGATCCTAACTCTATATATATATATATGTGTATATATATATATATATATATATAGGATGTGGTTCAAATGAGAACCAAGTCCTAGCGTGAGAACCGTGAGAACCGCTATTTTTAATTGTATGTAGTGCTATGATTAATTGTGTTTTAGTGCTATTTTTAACTAGGATGTATTTGATTAAAAATAGCAACAAATTTTTATTAGCTTTTATGAAAATGATAGCACCATGTAATATTAAAAATAGCATCATACACAATTAAAAATAGCATCAAATATGGTTCTCACGGTTCTCACACCAGACATAGTTTTTATTTGAACCAGCCCCTATATATATATATATAGGGTTGGGTTCACATGAGAATGGTGCATAGTGAAAGAAATGAGTATACATCGTGGCCATTTGATCAAATGATCTACCGGCTAAAAAAATTTCATAGGTTGACACTTATTAAGGGTAATATTGGTATTTTGCACATCCTAATTCATCAGATTATTTCATAAGTGGGCCCCACATTAGAACTCTCCAATCGCCGCCGATCTCGACGGAGCCGCCACCGCCATCCTGCGGCTTCTTCACCACCACGTCAGAGACGAACACACACTACACACACACCTCGACCTCCGCCGCACAACGCCGCCACCACCACTGCATCACAAACTCCGGCCGACTCTCCAATCAACTCCGCACTCCGCCCCGCTATCTCCAGTCGACGGCGTTTTGTGAAACATACTCGGAAGTCTCGCTGCCGAAAAATTCAAAGCTATCTCCTCTTGCAATTTCAGTCTCCGTCATCGCCTGAAATCCGGTCGTCCCCCATTTCCAGTTTCCGCCGTCGTCTGAAATCCGGTGGTCCTCAACTTCCAATCGCCACCGTCCTCTGAAACATACTCGTCGAAAATTCGACGGTCGCCGGCGCCACAGATCTCAGCCTCCGCCCCCGCCCACGTGCTGCGATTTGTTACCGCCTCTTCCTCGCCGGACGAAATAAAATGCCACATCTGCAGCGGAGGTTGAATGGTGAAGAGCAGCCATTTGTGTACCTTAAATTGTGGGGCTCAAAGTTGAAAATTTGATAAGATTAAAGGGTTTAATTGCATTTCAGATAATTTAGTTATATTTCAATTTAAACCTTGGGCCAAATCTATAATTTATAATAAATACATAAAAAATTATTTTTTTAATATATATATATTTATAAATATATGTATATTATTATGTGCTTTAAATAAAAAATAATATAAAAATATTAAATAAAAAACTATTAAACTACTAAATATAATTTTATGAAAAAAAAATAATTAATAATTTTATTAATTAGGTGCATAAAAAAATAGCTGCAATGCACGCTAGTGATTGTCGAAATGCATATTAGTATTAGATCAAATGCACATTAATACATCGGATAATGCACATTATTAAAGTGGTGTGTATTTTACACTTATATTAAATTTTTAGTATGTTCTGTCTAGATTCGTCTTTAATTTAGAAAGAAAAATAAAACAAATAACATATTTGATCGAAATATATAAAAAAAATATATATATTTTATATCATATATATCGTTTATTTCAACAAATAATAATGTAAAATATTAAATAAAAAATATAAATACTAAATATAGTTTTAGTATATAAATAAATTAATAAATGCTTAATAGTGATAATTAAAAAATAAACACTATTAAAATATTCTAATATTAAAATGCACATAAAAAATATCCGCTCAATCGATTGAAAAATAATACTAGACTAAATGCACATTATTTTATTTGGAAATCATCTTTTATTTTGGTATTTCATATATTATGTATTTACAGTAAAAAACTAATGTAAAATATTAAATCAAATTATTCAAATATTAAATAATTTTTTATATTATAAGTAATATAAATTATTTATAATAAATACGGTAATTTGGTTGGGTAACAGTTCGGTCGGTACAGACGCACAATAGCGACGAACTATTGCACATTGGTGATAGAGATATTGCACATTAATGTGTAACAGGCCGCACATCAGTGATCAAAACTGAAATAATTATATTTTTGTATCCAACTTTATAGGTTAATTTTCAAATTTAAGTTATTTTGTCTTCGATAATTTCAACTGAATAAAGTTATTTTGATAATTTTTGAAATTTATATATTTTGATTATTTCAATCAAAAATGAAATTTTGATATATATGAAAAATATTATTATTATATTTTTATATATTGCAAGTGCACATTATGATTATATGGATTGCACACTAATGACTATATGATTGCACAATATCAAAAAATCAAGCAAACCTATATTTTCGGTTCGAAATTATATATTTCGGTTCAATTATTATTTTATTTTTTTCTTCTTTAAAAAACTTAGTTATTTCGATTTTGAAGTCACATCTATTTGTTAAAATAAGTGAAATAAGCAAACTACCTGAAAATTATTATTATTATTATTATTATTATTATTATTATTATTATTATTATTATTATTGTTATTATTATTATTTTTATTAAAGCAATTTGTCAGGACTATTCGGCGAAAGTTCTTTAAAAACTCGCTTATTTCGGTTCAGTGTCAGTTATTCTTTTTGTAAAAATGTCATTTATTTTCACAATAAAATATAAAAAATGTTAAAATTTTAATTATGTTTTGATTAATTACAAATTTAACCATGAACTCAATGTTAGATATTTTAACATTTATAAATTGCATATTGGACCCTAGGAGTTACCAAATTTTCAAAATTGAATACCCTAATAGTTATTGAATTCTCACTTAAAACACACAACCCCTCGGTCTGAAAACTACACCCCCGACTGCAGCCACCATCGCGCTAGTCCGGTACCGCCACTGCAGCCACCGTCATCTCTTCACAAGCACTATCTCCGGCTCTGTCATCTTCACTCCAAATTATTGTTATTTTTTTTTTCTCACCAGACTCGGATCGAGCAAAGATGGCGGCGAGGAGGTCGGATGCGACGATGCGGCGGAGAAGACGAAGGCTCGACCGAGTTGAGTCCAGCGGGATCTAGCCGGCGCGGCGGTTTTCGGGTAGGAGCGCGACTCTGCCGGTGGAGAATACTACCCCCAGAGCGCTCAAAGGATGGCCAGCTCTATGTTGACACAATAGCCGTCGGTGGTAACATCATCAAAGCTCGTCGGCGGGTGGAGGAAGTGGCCGACGCCGGCAGAGAAGGTAGAGATGAAGCCGGATTTTGCGGCAGTGATCTCGGCACTCGGCAGAGAGTACGGAGAATTGGTGCGAGAGGGATGCGGCGGGTGTAGCGGTTGGCGTCGGGCGGCGACGGCGGCAACTGACGGCGGCGGGTGGTAGTAGGTGGTGGCGGACTTGATTTCCGGTGGGGGGAACTCAAAGGACGGGCACAATTTCAGCAGATTCAGAATATGTGTGTGAGAGAGAGAAAAATGAGGGTTAATCATGATGAAGTGGTGGGGCCTACTGGGTGATGAGTTGTATTATTATGTGTATTGTACCCTTACTAAGTTGGTAAATATGTACATTTGACCACAATGTGTATGTTAAATTATCATCTTGCCATTAATGATTGACCATAATTTGACTTAATCATAACCATTGCTATGATGTATCCAATGATCCAGATTTATTCTTATTTCTTTTACTATCTACCATTCTCATATGATCCTAACTCTATATATATATATATAACACTACTTCCTTTATATACTCAATACTCAAACAACCAAAACAGAGGACCAAATTGTACATTCCTCATCGTATTCGTTTCTGTTGGGCATAGGACATGTTACGTTGTTAATACCATTTGGTTTAATTAGGCCAGCTTGGTTAATAATCAGACTCCTCGTTATTTCAAACGCTCTTCTTATTTATACATACACATTCAAGACAGAGTTAGGTGTATGCCGCTCAATTGAGTGACATAGACCAAGTAGATCCATCCAACATGGTGGAAATTAAATTAAAATAAATCAAAAAGAAAAAAAAAAGAAAAAAAAAACTAAACAACAACGTCGTCTGCTTCCTCCTTTTCTTCCTCTTGAGCATTAACCGAGTTCTTGCAATGAGCAATGGCAGCTTGAATCGCGGCCTGTAACTCCTCAACTGTGCTATCAGTTTTATGATAATAAGCTCTGACTAACAAAGGCCCGCTATTCGCAGGCGAAGTTGTTATTGAGACGGGCGCAGATGAGAATTCGCTTCTCCTCCCTCTCAACACTAAATCCTTCCTTCTCTTCACTCTCAAACTCCCCGAATATGCATTGAAGGATGCCGGCTGCCTTAGGAACTCATGATCAAAGGAATCATTATTAATGGTTTTATTCTTGCCGGCTCTCTTGTGCCTAAAGGGATTCATGGCAAACGGTTTAACCAGTTTGTTGACGATGTTGAATCTTGATTTCCTAATTTTCCCATCGTTCTTGTCGTCTTTTCCCATGCAATCGTGTTCCCGATGGTGTTTCCGCCATTTGGAGAAAATATGGGAAAAGGATCTCGATTTTACCCTCTCCTTTCCCTCCAAAATACGGCAATGTTCCTGGACGTGAAAGTCGTCGATTTTGTTGTTGTTGTTGTTGTTGTTGTTGTTGTTATTGTCGTCTGTATCGAGAGTAAGGGTGAAAGTGCTGTCAACGGAGTTGGTGGAGGAGGAGGAGGATCGGTGGTTTGGGAGGCTGTGGAGGGGTAGCATGTGACCATGGAAGAAGATGTCGTCTGCATCAACGGGTAAAAGGGTAAAATCATCTTTTTGATTGTTAGTCAGGGCTAGGAGGGAGTTGTTACTGAAGGAGAATTCAGGGGAGGATGTGCTAGAAGGTGTTGGGGAGTGAGACACTACTTGATGTTGTACTGACTGCTTCGCGGGTTGTACGTCTGCTTTGACTTGGTACTTCTCTTCATCTTGACCTGCTTTTGATTCATCAATTTGCGGTTCCATTGTTTGTTTTCTTCTTTTTCTTTTTTCTTGGGATGACAAGGATAATGAGAAACTTGATGACTCTCTTAAGAAGCTAATAAGCTATGTTGTGCATGCAATCAACATATATGTAGTATGTATGGATTTATGTAAATGTGTGTGACTCTTTGTTTTCATATATAGGGTAGTCATGTGAAGGCAAAGGGGACTTGAAGGTGATGTGGAGTCTAGGTAGTGAGTGTTTGTGTGTGTGTAGGGTCTTTATGAAAGAAAACAACAGCCACTTATATTAATAGTGGTTTATGGGAAAGCTGAAGTGCACAACAACGATTTTGTCCAAAAGGCATCCTGTTCTTACTTTGTTTCATTTTGTGTCTAGACAGACAATATATAAAATATTGTGTTCTTTTTTTTCCATTATTTTATACATGATGAAAATTAGAACTCGTGAATTGTTGGGGAAAAAAGATCGGAAAAGATGATATCTCGTGTGTAAAAAGTAATTGTGACAATAAGATTTTACGGAAAACTTTGGTGCATGACAGATAGTACTTAAAAAATGACAAATGAAGATGTATAATGGAGTATAATTTTAAAGGAATTAAGTCCTCCACTTTAAAGCTTTAGTCGAAATATAACCATTTTATATACTGCGGAAGAATATTATTTAAATGTATCGGATCTTCGGGGGCTGGCAAATAAAGTGCGGTGTTTGGAAATCTTAGTCAAACTTCGTACCTATCTTTACTTCAAGAAGAATCTTCAATATGATTATTTTAGGGACACTACCATGTTATGTATTAGTATAAAATGCATATATAATGGTTGAGATACAAAGTTATTTAGTAGACCATTTGATTATGAGTTCGATTATGTATATTAAATTGCCCACGGGTGAAGAGGCCGTGGAAATTTCTAACACTTGTACCAACAGCATAAAAAAATTCGAATCGTTGCCATATTCTCCAAATCTTTCTTCATCTTCTATCCGAAAGAATACAAAAGAATTCGTTTATTGTCTTTTGTTTAATTAGTTTTTTACTCTCATCTCCACCATATTTGTCGATTTGTGTTCCATTGAGAAATGTAACATTTAAGAATCTTTGCATATTTTGAATACTTGTTAGTACATAATTGTTTCTTAGATAGATTCAATTATTTGATTCAACTATTAATTTAATACATTCACGATGTTTATCAATTGTGGTCCGTTAATTTGATTCAACTATAATTTTAGTGCATCAAGTTGCGATTATTATCAATTTTAATCCACTTTATCCCACTAGGTAAAAGGTCCATGTCAATAATAACATGTCAACTCCACAAATATTTTGTATTCTTCATATAATATTATATTAATACAATAGTATTATTTTTTATTTTGTTATGCACACAGACAAAATTTGGAGTTCTCAACTTCATTATGATTATGCATTTTTTATTATTTATATAAGAAATTAATAGATAAATTTATGAAATCACAGTTTATTATATAACAATAATAATATATGCAATAAAAGATGATACGCAGGTCAGGTTAATTAAACAACGTCAACAAGTAAAACCCTAGAAGTTAGATCAATATTATATATGAACTTGATCCATTAATAATGCCTCATTTCTTCACATGATTAGGAGGGATATTACAGTCATTCACTTATTTTGTGTTTGCTTTCATTGATTACATCCCCTAGGATATCTTGTAGCGCGAGATTAAGTAAGATAGAATCAAAAAAATGAAGGATAACTATGTTACGTCACTTTTCGTAACGAACAGGGCTGAACGCACACGCCTCGAACAACTTTCGTCCTTGAGCTCCGGTGACCTGCAATATGCCGGAAGGGGGTCCCATTGAAAAAATCTCCGACACTCAAGTCAAGACTCACTCAATAACTGTATATTGAATTATGTAAGTAAAAAGTGTAGAATGCGATAATAGATGAAGAAGAACCGTCACCCTTATACAAGGTAGATATCTTGGTGCCCAAGAAAGTCATTATTAGGGAAGAGACCCAACCATATCCTACTTCCTAACTTACTGCATCTCTATCTAGGCAATAGTCTTTTGAGCGAGTGATTATTTCCTTCTTATTAGGATTCTTTCTCCTTTTACTGTTCAACTCATAGATCCTTAGGTCGTAATTTCGACCTCCTGACCTGTCTATTGTGGCCTATCCGAGGTCGAATCTTACATTGTCTCATGGTTTAACCTGACGTCACTCTGAGTTCTAACTCGACCACCTACTGATGCCTAACCTGCCCTCAAATCACACGACCTCGATACCTTGAGGTCGGTTGCATTTTTGGGCTCTTGAAGGTCGATACCCCAGGTCATATATCTTCACGTCGATCGATACCTTAGGACCATGTACGAGTTAATAGACTGGGTAGCTTACCTTTACATAGCCGAACTTCCTGCTCAAGACGGTCTACGGAGCTTATTTTGACTGCTACATCATCTAGCTCTCCCATTTCAGAACGAGCTGGCTGGACTTTTGGTGAAATGGAATTTTGTGCTTAGGCCTTTGCATCTGGCTTTCTTTCTGATTTAATGTATCAAATAATCCTAGGAGAACGTGAAACGCTAAAAAATGTTGGTTAAGGAATATTATTTTCCATGAAAATAGGTAAAAAAATGAGTGTTCACCCATCAAATTTGAATAACCGAGTCACCGAAAATCATCGGTTGAAGTATTCATTCGGAAGCTACGCATTGCCGCAAATTTGGAATCTTCATCGATATTTTTCTGACCAATAAAGGTCTGATCGATGATCGGGATTTACCGTTAGATTTCTTAATAGAAGATCTTTCTTGAAATATATGTTTTCCAAAAATACGACGGTTGGATCTCCAATGGCATTTCAAAAGGATGTACTACGCACTTCTTTAATTTTGTCAAACCTTTGAAATTGATTTAACATAGTTTGAGAGATTGTATGAATAAATTAAACATGGTGTTGGATAGATCAAGTCGAGAGATCCAAAATGATATATGATTTTTTGAAATTCACTACTGGCGTACGAGCGATGAGCGGTGGCTAGTGGTGGCCGGCGGTGGCGAGATGGCCGGATCTTCAATTCTTGTATGTTTTTAATTTAGTTACCTATTTTTTAGTTATTTTTATTATATACATGTGTTTTATATTAAATACAATATAAGTTTTGAATGAAATAAAATAAATAAAAATTTAAATAAAAGTAATGGTATAATAAGTATTTACGCATATACGTAGTGTGTTGATGATGGGTCGTCAACGATTATAGAAAACGTTTATAAGAAGGTTTAATCGGGGGTTACTGTTAGAAAATGGGTATAAAAATATACGGGAATCCTACGAACTGATATGTATTTTTTCAATTCTTACAAATAATCAAAAAAATTAGAAAATTACAATCGAACTAAAAAATAAATTACAACCAAAAATAAATTACAACTGGAAAAAAAAAATTGCACAAAGATTTTAGCCGAGGCGAGTAAAACTCTTTCCGCAAGAAGAATACGCCCCGTGTGGCTGCTAACGGTTCAGACGTAACTTCCCCAAAGATACAATGACAAACGTCTCTAAATTTGTAGCACACCAGATTTACGAGCTCCGGGGAACTAGAACAGAGTCGAGAATTGAGTATTAAAAAAATTTAAAAATATATATTATTTTCCCCTTTCTCTATTGATGGGGTTCGGTCGAAGCTCTCCGTTCAAAGTAAGATGGATTTATTGAAAATAAATGCTGGACCGATCATGAGGGAAATGGCTAGTAAAACGAAGGAAGTCTTGAGTGTTTTATTGTTGAATTTCAAGAGAAGACGTAAGGAAACACCGACTGAAGGCAAATTGATGAATATTCTTCAAGTTGATGGGCCAGATTGTTCGCATAAAGATTAATCTACGGGATTGAAGACATAACTTCATCCATGTCATGTGGCCCAATTAAAGTGTCCATTACTTGTCCATTTTCAGCATTTTTGAGACCAAAATGGCTCTTTAGTTATCTTAGAAGTCAAAAGGTCATTCAAACCTCATGTAGGATTCATTATGTGGTCAAAACTATGTTTTTAGTGCTTAATGAGTCCCAAAAACGGGATTAACTCATTAGCACCATTTGTAGCATTTAAAAAGGCCATTTTATGTTTTAATGAATATTATGAATATTGCTGAATATTAAAAATCACTTTTGTGAGTTGAATTCTCTTTTGTAGAGTTTCAAATGTTTTATGAACTTACCAAGATACTTGAGCAAGATCTTGTGGCGTTCACCATTCCGAGGTTCCTAGCTGATTATATAGCTAACGGGTCGAGGTTTTCAAGCTCTAGGTACGATCAAACTAGATCTCCGATCTGGGATTCCGCTGCCTACATATACGTTTGGTTCTTGGATCAATATATCCAATGAGTCTCACGTGCTATCCGTATCTGTTTGGTATCAGAGCAATCTGGTATTGATATGATTTCTATCTTTTTTACATTGCTTTGTATCGAAAAAAATAAAAAAAGAATGAAAAAAAAATTTAAAAAAAAAATCCTTGTATTTTTCTACGAGGATTGTTAAAAAAAAAGAGAGAGAGAGAGAGAAAAATCTGTTCTTTCAAAAAAAAAAATGTGCAACAAGGAGTGGAAGGATCTCATGCAATCAAGTTTCCAAACTTTTGAGCGGATTGAAAAAAAGATGTTTCGTATGAAGATCAAGTTGCCACCCAAATCTTCCGAGTACTTGGCCGCTGTACGTTGGGCGAACCACACGGAGACGCGCACGGAGCCGCGAAGCGGGGGGCTGTACGTGGACAGCACGCCCCAAGGTGGGGGCGTGGCACTATCGAGCAATTCTAGGGGTAAGGGCAATGAAGGTAGGATCGCCAATGAAGGTCGCAAGGAATACTCATTCTTGTTTGAGTTTCCGTGATTCTCTGAAGATGTGGAGGCCACCAAACTCGTGGACGAGCAAGTGTCAACCGAGTACAAAGATCCACCTTTGGTTGAAGAAGAGTTCAAAGATGTGTCGGAGTCATTGGAGTATGATTGTCATCCTATTTGGGACGACAATATTGATGATGTTGTGGTGGAGGTCGATGAGGTCCACAAGGAGAAGACACCCAAGTTCGAAGAGGTCCTATGTGATGTTGTGCCAATGCATGCAAATCATATACTTTTGGATTCGAGGACGAATCAATTTGAAGAAGAAGGGAATGATGGGGTTCGGTCGAAGCTCTCCGTTCAAAGTAAGATGGATTTATTGAAAATAAATGTTGGACCGATCATGAGGGAAATGGCTAGTAAAACGAAGGAAGTCTTGAGTGTTTTATTGTTCAATTTCAAGAGAAGACGTAAGGAAACACCGACTGAAGGCAGATTGATGAATATTCTTCAAGTTGATGGGCCAGATTGTTCGCATAAAGATTAATCTACGGATTGAAGACATAATTTCGTCCATGTCATGTAGCCCAATTGAAGTGTCCATTACTTTGTCCATTTTCAGCATTTTTGAGACCAAAATGGCTCTTTAGTTATCTTAGAAGTCAAAAGATCATTCAAACCTCATGTAGAATTCATTATGTGGTCAAAACTATGTTTTTAGTGCTTAATGAGTCCCAAAAACGGGATTAACTCATTAGCACCATTTGTAGCCTTTAAAATGGCCATTTTATGTTTTAATGAATATTACTGAATATTAAAAATCACTTTTGTGAGTTGAATTCTCTTTTGTAGAGTTTCAAATGTTTTAAGAACTTATCAAGATACTTGAGCAAGATCTTGTGGCGTTCACCATACCGAGGTTCCTAGCTGATTATATAGCTAACGGGTCGAGGTTTTCAAGCTCTAGGTATGATCAAACTAGATCTCCGATCTGGGATTCCGCTGCCTACATATACGTTTGGTTCTTGGATCAATATATCCAATGGGTCTCACGTGCTATCCGTATCATCTATTTTTATTTTCTGCCGTATTCTTCTCTTTTCGTATTGTGATTTCTCTATCTTCTTCTATCCTCTTCTCCAAATGAAATGAGTCCGTATTTATAGAACTTGGAAACATAATCTTAATTTGGTATTAGAGGTGGGTGCATTAAAAGCCAACTTGCACTGTCAAATTTGCAGGCGCCATCAAATCCTCTGACAATATGGCAGGCCCTCATTAATGCTCTGACAAAATACATTAATGCTCTGATTAACCACAATTACACTCAACTACAACAATCCCCCACATGAGTGTAATTTATATATAATATACTATTGTGCTCAATCCTCACAAAACTCTATTGCATCAGAGAAGGTAGCTTTTGGCTTTGAACCATTCTTTGTAAACATTATCGGATGCACTGGCGGACTAGTAGACATGATGCCTTGAACTATTCCTCCATAGTGTACACCGGGTCAATGACATTTACACAATAGAGTCTTAACTCCATTCCGTTCTATTGTTGTGTCCGTTTTGGCCATGGGCAACACTTTGGATTCATAAGTGTTTACATTTGAAGCGACCCTCAATTCACACTTATATAGATGACCTCCCTATCAAGAGTATCCTGCCATACTCCACGTTTACAAGGTTAGGGATTCATTAAAAGTCCACATGACTTATCCTCACTACAATCGACAGGTTATCTTGCACTTGGAATGCTCTAGGGAATAGCTTTGGACATTCATATGTTCCAAGTGCTCAACTAAATTTTCATAGCTTAGTTTTCCCTTTGAACCAAGTTCGTGGGATCTCCACTCATCATGGTAGGGTTACCACTATAATCATTCTTTACATTGTGGATTTTTAAGCCCATTCCCTCTAGCAATACTCCCAATTGATCTCTATTCAATCCTTTCGTTATAGGATCAGCCAAATTTTCCTTAGACTTCACATAGTCAATGGAAATAACACCATTTGTGATCAATTGGCGTACGGTATTATGTCTACGACGAATATGTCTAGACTTACCGTTATACAAGTTGCTTTGCGCGCTACCTATAGCAGCTTGGCTATCACAGTGAATCATCATAGGCGGCAAAGTCTTATCCCAACATGGAATATCGGATAAAAAATTTCTAAGCCACTCGGCTTCTTCACCAGCTTTATCTAAAGCGATGAACTCCGATTCCGTCATTGAATGAGCTATACACGTTTGTTTTGTGGATTTCCACGAAACAACCCCTCCTCCAATACAAAAAACATATCAGCTAGTGGAGTGAGAATCCCTCGATTCTGATAACCAACTTGCATCACAGTACCCTTCAAGTACAGCTGGATATCTAGAGTATTTTAGCCCGTATTCAAGGGTGTACCTCAAGTACTTAAGTACCCTTCTCAAAGTATTCCAGTGCTCATGACTGGGATTGCTCGTGAATCTGCTCAACTTACTCACCGGATCTGCCATGTACATCAGACTCCCTATTATCCGTGAATATTCCAACTGAGCCACTGGTTGACCTTTATTTGTTACCAGATTTATACTAAGATCAAGGGGTGTCTTACACATATGTCTAGACTGTCCACCGTCATAGGCATTAACTTTCTTGAGCACTTTCTCTACATAATGAGATTGTGACAAGACAATTCCATCATGGGTTCTAATAATCATTATTCCAAGCATAACATCAGCCAAACCCATATCTTTCATGTCGAAATTTCTTTTCAACATTCCTTTCGTATCCATGATCACTTCATGGCTACTCCCCATGATCAACATATCGTCTACATATAGACATACAATCACAAATGTATTTGATGTACCCTTGACATGAACACATTTGTCACATTCATTGATTTCGAAATCATTTGACAACATCACGTCATCAAATTTCAAATGTCATTGTTTCGGAGCTTGTTTCAGTCCGTACAATGATTTGATCAATCTACACACCTTTCTCTCTTGTCCAGGTACAACAAACCCTTCAGGTTGTTCCATGTATATTTCTTCTTCCAATTCACCATTCAAAAATGCCGTCTTGACATCCATTTGGTGATTCTCAAGATTATGCAACGCAACAATCGAGAGAAGCACTCTTATCGACGCTAAACGCGTAACTGGTGAATAGGTATCAACGAAATCATATCCTTCTTTTTGCTTAAAGCCTTTGACCACCAATCGTGCTTTAAACTTATCAATCGATCCATTAACTTTATATTTCTTCTTTAGGATCCACTTGCATCCTAAAGGTTTACAACCATCAGGGAGATCAACCAACTCCCATGTATGGTTCTGCATAATGGACTCGATTTTGCTATTTACAGCTTCTTCCCAGAATGGTCCATCTGGGCTGGACAAAGCTTCCTTAATGGAAGTCGGTTCACCGTCCAACATGTACGTAATAAAATCAGGTCCAAACATTTTTGCCGTTTTTACCCTTTTACTACGTCTTGGTTCTTCATCAGTACCATCTGGTACAGAACCACTAGTAGTTTCATACGTTCTTTTATTAGAACTAGATTCTGCTATTTCCTTCAGAAGAAAAACATTCTCAAAGAATATAACATTCCTTGACTCAATCGTGGTACCAACAGATACCTCTGGATTTTCTGATTTATGAACCAGAAATCTATATGTTGTACTATTGTACGCATATCCAATAAATACACAATCGACCGTCTTTGGCCCGATTCGCATTTGTTTTGGTTCATGTACTGAAACCTTAGCCAAACACCCCCACACTTTCAGGTATTTATAAGACGGCTTACGATTTTTCCACATTTCGTAAGGAGTCTCATATTTCCCTTTAGGTGGTATTTTATTCAGGATATGATTTTCCGTTAAAAAAGCCTCCCCCCACATCTTTTGGGGTAGTCCCGAATTTATCAACATGGCATTAATCATTTCTTTTAACATACGGTTCTTGCGTTCAGCAACACCGTTCGACTGTGGAGAATAAGGGGCCGTTGTTTGATGAATTATGCCATATTCAATATGTTCAAAAGGAGCTACATACTCCCCACCCCTATCACTTTGGATTATTTTAATCCTCTTTCCGAGTTGATTTTCAACTTCGGTCTTATAGATTTTAAATGCTTCCACAGCCTCGTCTTTGCTTCTTAACAAATATAAGTAGCAAAACCTTGTGCAATCATCGATAAAAGTTACAAAATACTTTTTACCGGTTCTTGTTTGCACATTTTTCATATCACATACATCAGTATGGATCAAGCCTAATGGTTCAGTACTCCTTTTCACCAAGTGAAAAGGCAACTTAGGCATTTCTGCTTCAACACATATTTCACATTTCTTATGTGATTCAATTTTAGAATTAGGAATTAATTCTAAATACATCAACCGTTTAATCGCATATAGATTTATATGTCCCAATCTAACATGCCATAAATGACAACACTCAACAGTATAAACAAAAATAGGCTTTTCAATTTCATTAGCAACGGTTACACGGCACACAGCCATTACATTCATTTTGAACAAACCCTTGTTCGATATATCCACGACCAAGGAATGTTCCGAACTTGCTAAGAACAAACTTCTTAGCGTCAAACACAAGTCTAAATCCATGCTCAACAAGAAGAGATCAAGAGACCAAATTCTTGCGGATGTCTGGGACATGCAGAACATCCTTAAGCTTTAACTCCTTTCCAGAAGTAAACTTCAGCATCACACTGCCCACTCCAGCCACATCTGCAACACCCCGCTACTTAGGGCCAATTTTTCGCAAATTCTGTCTTTCGAAAACGCTTATAAATTTTTCGAAATCGTTTGCAAACTATCTCGGGATGCTACTGTAACGCCCCGTTTTATTTTTAAAAATTTATCGAATTAATTAACAAAAATCAGAGTTTTTTTTTTAAAGTCCAATTTAAAACTTTTATCGAGAAACAGCCGCTACTTACTAACAACAACAATCAACACACATCCAACAATTCAAGGAACCTATACATGCTCGAGCTAACGATATAACAAATCCCATAAAACATAAGTCTCAAAAACCGTTTCAAAAGGTCTAGCATTATTCAAGGTTCAACCAACTTAACATAGTTCGAAAAGTGAAAGTAGTAAACAAATAATCCAAGTGCAATAGCAAATAAATAAATATCCAGTTTACACGGAAGCATAGGTTTTCAACACATAATGACCACCATCTCGCTCATCCTAGGCCACCGCCAGCTCGTCTCAACCTAAAACAAAGGAAGAGAGAAAACAACAAAAAAATAATGGGGGTGAGCAACCAACAAGCTCACCATTATCTCACGATTATTCCGTATAATAATTTTACAAACAAGTAATCGCAGTGCACAATATCAATACCGGTATGCATAGAATTCATAGCCTAAACCCCCTACCCGGCCCTATCGCAAACCTCCTATGTACATAAAACAACCTTCCGGATATGACGGCATGGCTGTAACTGGAAACCTTCCCACCCCCGGATACAACGGTACATGGGATCCTTTCCAGGAGACAGTGAAGTTGAATTA